ACTGCCAACATTGAGGCGTAATGGCAGGCCCAGCTGCAAGCTCACGCCACGCTATTTGGAATCCAAGCCGTTCCCTCAGTTGATTGATGCATTAAATCCTGATTAGTGTCTGTTTTGGACCACGCGGGTGTGGTGGGAGACTTAGGTGCGGTTTTTCGCCGTGTTAGCCACCTACGCCCTCAGCCACCTCCTGTATTTTTGACTCTGTCATGATAGAGGATCCAGGTTGAGGAGAACGAACGAGTGCGGTGGAGGCTGCGTAAGTCTGCCATCACTATAACCCATTTCGTGCGCAAGTCTTTCTTTGGAGTGCACCGTGGAGATCGTCAAAATCGACGGTCAGACCGTCGATTTCAAGGCAGCAGCTTCGCATAAACATCGCAACCCCTTGCGCGTTTGCCACAGTGATATTCTGCTGCCTTTTATAACTGGTTCGAGTGTGGATCCGAAAGGCCTATCTACTTAATTTTTAGCCGCTTCCTCGTTTTCTTGGTGTATAGAATCCTGATTAGCGTCTGTTTTCGAACACGGGGTGTGGTGGGACCCTTAGGTGAGACTTTTCGCCGTACCCGCCACCCATGTCCTCTTCCGCCTCTGGTCTTCTTGACTCTGTTATGACACCGGATCCAAGTACGATGGAAGAGAGTGATGTGGGTGCTTTGCCAGTGCGCTTTCACTTTAAACTAGTTTGCCCGCAAGTACTCTACTTCCTCTTTCCCTCCCTTGAAGCACGCCATAGAGCGCGCCGTGGACATTGTCGAAATTGGTGGCGGAAATGTCGGTTATAAGGCAGCGGCGTCCCATAAATATCGCAACCCTTGTGCGTTTACCACAACGATCTGCTGCTGTTTTCATGATTGTTCCAAATGTAAATCCAAAATGCCCGTCCACTTAAATGTTCCTTTTGGCAACCCTGTCTCCTGATTATCCCAGGGGTAAGCTGACCACGAGGAGTCATGTTAAAAGCACCAAAAGGTACGCACACCGAAAACAGCATGGAGTTGTGTCGCGGTAGATTGTGTTTAGCGGTAAGCATACAAGAGACCGACCCAAATCGCTGAGGACAAAAACCCCTCTTACAAGCTGTTCGCCGATACTGCCGATAGAGCCCTGTAATGGGATTAGGACGATAATGCTTCCTGCAGTAAAAGAACCAAGCTATCGCATTAGCATAGTATGATGTGCCAGCACATGGTTGATGAAATTTAATATTTTCAATAGTAAACTTCACACTCTTCCAGCTGTTGGTCAGTAACACAGGCGAGTTTCAGGCCTTCACGTCGGCGTTTCGTCGTTAACCTTGCGTGATAAGAAAAAAGATAAGGCTTTGCATAAACACTGGTAGCTGGCAAGCCAAACGGTCCTAGCACAAGGCCAAACAGTACAAATTAAGTCCCGAGTAAAAAGCCGCACTCGGCCGAAAAGATCTTGATAGTGATTTAATTACGCTGACAGATCGCGTGATGCACGCGTGGCACTGTCCGTAGACTTAATTAATCCAGGCGCCTGCTCTCTCAGGCAAGCTGCCTTCAAAGAGAAACCTTTTAATATTTGAAACAGAGTTTCAGGCGATGTGATTTTATTTAATTTCGACCTGAAAAATCTCATTGATAGCATCTTTCTAACGACCTAAACAACTGCATCTCCTCCAAGTTAAATACTAGCCTGGCGAAATGAGGCATGAAACTCGCGATTTTTGCCTGTCGCATGCAAACATTAATCATGCCTTCTGCAGGACCACATCGGGGATGTAGAGATGAAAAACATTTTGTTAAACTCTTACCGTTTAAAAGCCAAAACCGGTCAAACACCGCTTGAGGTGTTCATCTACTGCACTCCCTAACGAAGGCAGATACTTTGGGTGTTAACGATGCCGCTAGTGCGCAAATTCGTCTCATTTGCAGACGCCAGACGCCGGTGAGACCAGTGCGAATATGGTCTCTACCGAAGTCTTTTAAATTGACTTGAGGCAAATGTTGTTTTCCCATATCACTAAGCCCACTGGAAGCCCGTAAACACGTTCTTCTGGTTGTTCTCTGAGAGGTAGCGTCCTACTGGTGTAGAATCGATCATAAATGCCTAACTTACTATCACCTGGATCTGTTCATTTATTCGTTTTCCCGGTTGACTATTTGTTCATTATTATTCCCGAGTTTTTTAACGCCATGACTGTTTTGGTCGCCAAATGGTGTGGCCTTTTCTATCCTGATATGCACGCCGTTTCTTCCCCACGTTCATGCACTCTCATCCCGATGAAAATGGCACAGTCAACATCTCGTGCGTGCAGCATCTGCAACCACCTGATAAAACCGTAAATAAAAATATTTACTGCGTAAGTGCGACTACTAGTTAACCCGCGATCTATATCGTGCCTTTTTAAGCGTTGCGATTTAATTTTGACTCCAAACTGCGCATGCAGTCTGCGAAGATAGGAAGAATGAAGTGACAATCAGTTATGCAACAACAACAAAGGGCTTATCCATTTAAAGTGAGTGACCGATCTCATGAAATGTTCGCAGAAATTCTGATATGCGTTCTCGACTAGGAAGGAGTATCTAGGTGCGGTGGTAATACTGATTGTCATGCAGCATAATCCTATAATATTCCGGACTTGGCAAGATGTCAGCTTTTCAATATACTGCTTTTCAATCTCCTGCAGAAACCGTACTCAGTGAAAAGTAACTACTTAATTAGAATGCATTTTTCCCATTGATTTTCGAGGGTCTTGCAAATTCAAATATATTTTGTGGAAACTACGAACAAAAATAGGCTTTATTTCAGTCGTTTGATTGAGAATCACGTCATCGTCATATTTATATCCGAAGAAGGAGTATAATTAGGTTTTAAAAGTTTCTAGTTATGAAATCTTTTAAGACCATAAAATGCCCACTCATATAACATCGTATTTTTACCACTGCTCCTCAAGAAATGTACAACACAGTCCTTATCCATTGCAAAATTTTATGGACTCTGTATGATATCTTTTTAAAAACCTAGAAGAATATGTAATTTTCTTTACTCGGACCGAATGCGCCTTGTAGACTGAAGTCACTTATTGTTATTTTAACGAGTCGTCAGGCTCCAAATTATTTGTTAATGAAGAAATTTTCTTAAAACCTAATAATACCCATTTTCGAGTATGAAATAGAACACTGACGTAATACTCTATCAAATGAGTGAAAGGAGGCATATTTTTGTTTGTGGTTTCTATAAAATATATTTGAATTTGCCAGACCCTCGAAAATCAATGTGAAAATGCATGCTACTTAAGTTGTCACTTTTACCGAGCACGGTTTCTACAGGAGATTGAAAATCAGTGCATTCAAAAACTGACATCCTGTCGAGTCCGAAATGTTATAGGATTATGCCGCAAGATCATCAGTCTTACAACCGCGCCTAACTCATCCATCCTAATCGAGAACGCATTTCAGAATTTCTGCCAACATTTAACGAGATCGGTCTTATTAAATAATCGTATGAAAATGTATGTCTTCTCCAAAAAGACAATTGCCCGGGTATATTCACAAACCTTTATGGTTGCACAGGAACAAATTACTGGTATAATAATAACTTAGTTAAGGCAAACGGCACTTAAATGCATAATCGGGCTAAACATATACAGTACATGTTCGTAGGCAGCATTCGTGGAGCTAGGAGGCCACTTCGTCACCCACCACAGGGCAATAGAATTCACTATTTAGTGTCCTTCTTTGTGTTTGATGTAGTACGAAGATCAAGAAGCAAGAATTATGAGAGGTTAATGGTAAACTTAAATGCGAATAAATAAAGGAATATCACAGTAATGGTTTCTGTCACCAGCAACCAGTCATATTTTCTCTCCAGGTTTTGGCACAACGCCTTATTGCCTGAAAATACCGCGTTTGTTCTCCGTCTACCGCGATTTAAGTATAGAAAGTCGTATTGAAATTGCATTCACTGATGCATCCTTCAGGGTCCGCTCAAGCATGAAATCCCAGACGCAGCTTTCATGCGAATTCCAATGCATGACGACCTACAGTTGTAAAGTTAATTATCGTGCAGCATAATTCTATAATAATTCCGTTACCTCAGCCTGTAGGCTTTCGACTGAACTTGTCTGCATGCAAAACTACACTCTGTAAAAATGGCTACTTAAGTAGCATACATTTTTCTCCTTGATTTTCAGTTCCCCTAAAAGTCCAATTATATTTCATGGTAAACATACATAAAATATACATTCGTTTACTTATTCGGTAGAAAATTGCGTCTTTTTCTGACTTGACACTCGATGGAGGGACATAAATGGGTTTAAAAAAGTTTCTAATTGTGGGACTTTTAAATACCTTGAATTGGCCGTTCATAAATTGTCGTCTCTGCATTTAGCAGTGTGGCTTGTAAAGTTAACAATATGACTCTAATCCACTACTAAATTTTATGAACCCTATAGGATCAGCCTTGATTACCATAGAGAAATGTGTGGCTTTCCGTATGTGGAACATAAACAGCTCGTAGTTTTGAAAGCCTGAATCCAAGTGTAACGGTAGAGACGTTTCAAAATTATTCGGGAATTGGAAGCGTTTTTTAAAACCGAATCATACCCTTCCTTCGGGTACAAAATTGGAAGACGTAACTATCTACCGAATGAGCGAAAGACTGAATATTTTTATGCATGTTTTCCATGAAATATAATTAAACTTTTAGGGGCATCGAAAATCAATGAGAAAAATTCATGCTAATAAGCAGTCATTTTTACAGAGTGTCGTTTTTGCATGCAGCCGGCGGGAAGTTCATTCGAAAGCCGGAATCCTGAAGTACCTGAAATATTATGGAATTACGTTACAGGCTGACTAGTTTTACAGCCCTACTTAATTAATCTTTGAGATTTCATAAGTCAGCCCACCCACTCTGTCATAGATCGAAAAGTTCTACCGGCAACTGCGCTTGGACGGTTATTTTGGCACACTTGCCTGAATTATTCAGTGATGCCATAATCTAGCGTGTTGGAGCACTCCAGGTATTGCCTCGGGTCCGAAAAGACAGTGAATTAGTGCTTCGTCATTATTTAACTCTAAGGACATCTGCACCCAATTTAATATCAGTTTCTATTCTTTTCTTCTCCGACCAGCTCCGCAAACAGGGTTGTCCCAGTTTTCCAAAACCTCAGGTACAACACCACTTAGGTCAAAGATGGAGAGTTATATCTAAATGTAACTGTTTTTTCTCACCTTCTTCAATCAGGAGAACTGCAGCACTTCCAATGGAAACGCTGTGGTTGTTTCATTTAACTGTGTTCACAAAATCCACTCTCTATCAAACGTCAGAGCGTTCACAGAAGAAGGCCTCTACTGTCCTTGAGGAGCTCCTGTGAGAGCTTCACTTTCGTAGTCAAGACGGTCATTCGGAAGAAAGCGAAGGATTTGCACTACAAAATAATTTAAATGAGCAATTTCGCTGACGTAAACAGACACACTAGAATAATCTTTGTCAACTGTCTTGCCGTTATCAGCCAGCGCAACTTCACTCGCGGATTGCACACTGAAGGTTCGAAATCCAAGTCAACTGACCATCGATGAACACGCTCAGCACTTCAGCTAGGTTGAACTGCAAGGGCATCATGAGGAGGGTAGTTTGACTAGGTTTCTAAGGTGTGTGATTCATCCCCGTCGTCGTCGTCGTCATCATCATCATCATCATCATCATCATCATCATCATCATCATCATCATCATCATCATCATCATCATCATCATCATCATCATCATCATCATCATCATCATCATCATCATCATCATCATCATCATCATCATCATCATCATCATCATCATCATCATCATCGTCTTTTTGTTCCCACTCTTATTCCACTCTATTTTACGCATTCGCCAGAAGCATGCTGCTCAAGGGCATCTTGCGCGACAAAACTCCGCCACCATTACTGTGAAACGTCTCCTGCCAACTCTATCAACACTTGTTGCGCTATACCAATAAAAGAGAACGTTTCGTGGGAAATGTTGAGACGCATTAGGTTGTAGACTACATTTGAAGGCAGATAGGGTACAGTTTGACAGATAAACCAAGGAGAGAGCCCTTAAAATGATTTCTCAGGAAATCCCCAAGTAAGCTACTTTTGAGCAGACCTCTTTTAAAACTAGGACGATATATATCCCAGACACATGTTAAATATGGGATAGAAAATGCCACTAGTTTAAACGTTCTCACCAGTTCTGCAGTGTATCTTTGCAGATATGTGGTGAAGGAAGCTGAGCAATTATCCTTGGTGGGAAAATTCACTAACCAGCTCTAAATTGCCTTCCAGGAAATGGGTGCATCCTTCAGCCCGGAAAAAAGTCAAATTTATTAATTGCTGAGACCCAAAACCCTGACAGTCTCGTGCTCTAAACGACATCTGGTAAATTCGATTAATGACGTACCTGAGAAGCCAACTCCATTTTCGTCTGCCTTTGTGAGCCATATGTCCTTTCGGTGCGATCATCGCTGAGGGCATTACATGGTCGACGGGTAGGCTCTACCTTCCATAAAGACTTACTAAATACGCGAATTAACATAGGCCTGGCTTGTAAACTGTCACTAGAAATAATGCTGACATTGGTAAAGGCGCAAGGAGGGGAAGGGGGAGGATAGTTTCCATCTAAACTCTTGTCAAGCTCATGCCGCCGCGTCCCTTCTTTTCCTCCCTCCACTGCCGAAATTTGAAGAAGAAGACACGATCGCTGTAACAAGAGCTTTATTTGCTTGTAGTCTCAGATTCCTGCCCGAACTCATAATCTGCTATAGTCACTGATGATCGTTTCGGGCAGGGATCCGAAACGTCAAGCAACTAAAGTTCTTGTTACAGCGATCGTGTATCCTTCTTCACGGCTGCGTCCTGGGACTCGTCTCTCCGCTCCTCTTGGGAATTACAAGCATCGCACTGACCATCGGAGCACACTGAAACATGTGGATACTGATGTTGACTCCCTTAAAAGTATTATCTTTAGTCACAAAGGCTCTGATCCTCCTTCAAGCAGCATTTTCTAACTACAATGTGTCTTCTCACCTGTATCTCTGGCACGAGTAGAGAAACGCCTTAAAAAGGTCTGCGAATCAATAGCTGACGGGCCGGGTGGTGTCTTAACTTTTCGCCTTAAATTTTGTGATTCTCAGATAGTCCCTGTTTTAACCCACCTTATTAGCACATTTTTCATGTAATCTAAGATTCCTGACGCTTGGTGTACATTACGAATCAGTCATATTCCTTAAAACCGCTAATTTTTGTGCTACATCTTTTCGTCCAATTGCCAGTTCTTTCGCAATACTGAAGCTTGTTGAACGAGTTGTACTCGATATTATAGAGCCATTTTCTTCCGGTGTTTCCGATCCTTTGCAATTTGCGTATAAAGCCAAATATGATACTCTAGATGCTGTTGTTCTTGTGGTCCACTCGGCCCTAAAAGAACTTGATAAGTGTTACCGTGCACACGCATATGATTTTCTTGACTACTTGTCTGCCTCTAATACCGTCCCACGCCATCTTCGCCTTGTCAAAACATCTGCGTACGACTCTACAAGCTGAGTCGTCTCTTGGGTCGGTTATTACTTTACTTCCTGCACTCAATTTGTCCAGTCCAGCAAACGGAAATCTGCAGTCCTTTCCAGTGACTGTGGAGTTCTTCGAGGTATCATTTTATCCCTTATCTCCATCCACAATGATGATCTAAGACCCCTAAACAACTGTCTGATAGCTAAGTATGCAAACAATGTGGTTGTTGGTCACGCTTTCGCAGTTGCGTCTGCTCCTTGTGCGTGTGTCGACCTGTCAAACGTTTTAGTCGGCTTAGCCTCCTTAATGGTAGGGAACGCTCACCGATCGTTCTTACGGAACTCACTCGTTCCGTTGTGCCTTAAAGGCTATCTCTCGAGCCCAACCAGCAGCCGCACAGCGGCGCATAATATAGGCAGAATGCTATTACCGACAAAGACAAGGGAGGGCATTCTTCCTATATCATGCGCCACTGTGTTGCTGCTGGCTGGGCTCGAGAGAGAGACTATAAGGCACAACGGAACGAGTAAGTTCAGTAAGAACGATCGGTGAGCGCCCCCTACCATAGTATATTCCCGATCGAAACTGACAGGGCAGCGGGCTCGTGGCCCAGTGGTTAGAGGCGAAACCTCTAACTAGAAGGTCGCGAGTTCAAGCTTCGGATGTTCCAGACTTCAGGGTTGGGTATGGCTGGCTGACGATAACTAATAAGCCAGAAGTGACCATTCCAGTCTCCATTGTCTTTGTCGGTAATAGCATTCTAAATAGCTGTTTCTTTTAAAACGAGTTCTCCGAATGCCCTCTTCTGCTGCCGGTGTTTCTTAGGTCCTTTTGGTTGATATTTTCAATAAACGACATTTCAAAACCGTCAAGCAATTTGCTGGTCGAATTCTAGGTGACGGTGCCTACCTCCTAAATTCTGAACTAATCTCTACGACATCCTTTTACCCCATGCGCAGTGACTTTCGACATATCTCCTGCCATGCATCGGAACATCACCATTCAGTGTTGCCATTCTTGGCACGCTGTCTTACGCGCGAAGAGAAGGAAATAAAGAAGCTAGAACTTGGAGCGCCCCTGTAACAGATGTTCCTAACTGTGTAAATATTTTTGTATCTTCAGTAATTTGTCAATTATGCTTCTAAAATAAGGCGGATCCTCCTCTCTTTTAATAATTCCGAATTTAACACATTTGCATTTGAACATGGTCCATCCTTTAAACTGCAATCTGTGATGATTTTTCTATAAGTCTCCACTTTGGCATGCACGGTGCCGTAAACACTATTTTAGTTATAACAAAATAATCAATTAACATATTTTCTAAGTGGGAGCTGATGAAAGTCTCGATTTCCGGTTTGGTATTGCACGCATGGAAAATCACTCGTCGGCGATTCGTTGTCACAGGTTTTTCCATTCACGCAATTAGTGTTTATATGTTTGCGAACTGCTAAACGTTCGGCGAATCTATCTGTATTTTCCTTCATTTCAAATTCATATACATTCATCTCTTTCTTTCACTCTCGTAAATGGAAAGTATTAGGTGAAATACGATCACTTCAATTTAACCTGTCTTACTTAATGTTGATTTTAACCTGCCTACTACTCAGAGTGCTGAAATAGTCCGTTGCCACACCTGTTTGAGTTTCAATGCCTAGTGTCCTTGGTCATGTTAATCAGCTGTCGACACGGCAAAGGTTGTGTCTCGTGAAATGTTACGGCCCCTGTGAAAGATAGGAAACAGACTGTCTTGTAAGTAAAGAAAGCCCCATGCACTTACTCTGGATGGCCAGTGCCATGGCTACGTTTTTTAAATAAACACCTTCACATCCTGTTTTCAGATCTTCGGTGACTGTCTGGCTGGACGTCCATCGATAGAGTTGTCAGATATCTTTTCCCAAACCCAATGCACGACAGTCCGACCGCCGTTTCCGACGATGTCCACCGTATGCACCACAGCGAGGTAGAGAAAGGACGACGACTTGTGCGTGAATTCGTTTATAGGGAATGTAGGCTTGCGATTCATCTGCCACACTATCTCCTCCTCCCCCACCAGATTCGGTGTCAAGACATAATCAAGAAGCCCGGAAGCAGGGGAGGGCGCAGGTGAATGGCTAAGTCGATCCGGTACCTCGGCGCCCCACTCCACTGTCCCCTGGTCCACAAAGCAAATGACCAGGATTTTAACCAACAACGACAAAATAATAGGGGCTGGCGCGGCCGAAGCCGCGCCTAGGTGTGCCGCCGGCACCCAACTGGTATCCACACAGCGAGAATGCCATAAAGGCCACATTAAAAAGAAACCATTGCAGCCTGACTGCTAGACTACCAGACGGCCGCACCACACAAACACACAACATTGGGCCGACTGCGAGGTCCAAGTTATCCCGTCAGTTGACAACCGTCCAAGCCACGGTTCGCAGTGCGCCGTGAAAGCTTCAAGTGCGTCAGATTGTTTATAGTGAGGTAGATGCGCTGAGTCGTCGGCCTCACTCTCTGGTATCATCCCCAGGCCCCAGTCACTGTCCGAGCCGGTCAGTAGACAGGTGCGGGGGATGGACGCGGTGACTGACATGGTCGAGTGCGTCACACGCGCGACCTCGCCCCGCCAGCACACACAACGGGGGTTGAGCGGCGTTCATCTCACATGCGCGAGAGTGCCGTAGGTCACGTTAGGAGGGAGCCGCTTCAGTCTGGCTCTCAGCCCACCTGTCCGCCACTCCACATGCACACTCACACAACTGGGCTGACTGTGTCTGGACTGAATTGTGACGTCAGTCAGCAGCCTTCCAGGCTACGGTGCTTGACGCACCGTGACAGTCTTCCGGTTAGGATTATGCATGCGGCAGAGAAGGCGCATGGAGACGCTACCGAGATGCACACTTCCCACTTGCGTGAGGGTTGGCAATTGAATGTCTGTGGTGGGTGATGGTGTTGTGTGATGCAGGTGAGGGAAGATGTGGTGGTGTGGTGCATCTGGCGGTTGTCTACCGCAGGTTTTGTAGATGCGCATTTGGCCTAATTGGTTTATGCGGTGGGTGAATGTGCGGGGGCAGTGGAGGCGAATACGGCGAGTGTATGTGGGTGCTCCAGGCACTAGTTCGCCACTTCCTGTGCTAGGGATTTGCAAGTGACCGAGCAGGCCGATGTTTGAGGGGAACGGTGGGGGACAGTTTGAACAGGAAAAGTCGATGGTGTCAGTGTCGGTTTCGAAGATGGTGGCAGTGGTAAAGCTGCTGATGCTGGACACGCTGGGCAACGGGGTGTGTGTGTGTGTTGAGTTAGACACGGTGGTACCTGTGAGACAGGCCTTCGATCGTTGAATCTGCCAAATGTCTTTTCATATCCTCAATGCATCTGCACTGAGATAGAGATGACGTGCATAGACATCTCTAGGTGACCCGACCGAGCTATTTGTCGTAGTACAAATGAGTATGTGATTACCAACCACACATCCCCCTTCGGTAGCGTTATGCAACCTTTACTTAATAGCATATGACGCGGATTCGCCTGTAAATGGGAAATAAACCTTCCCTGAGTTATTTCGAAAAAACCTTTTTCTGTTTTTACTCCTGTGGAGGGCGGTATTTTTTGTGGTAATCCGCTTGTGCATAGGTTTCCTTCGAGAAAATAGACTTCGTTCCATAGCACACAAGCGAAGCATATTTTACCTGCGCAGTGTCAAATGCGTTATGCATAGGAGCTATTTCTTTGATTTTGGCAGGGCATATGAGATGAAAATATGGCTCTTTTTCCAGTTTTTTTATGGGTTGAAGAAGGTGAGTTCCTTGCCCTCCTTGTGCTTGGTATTTTGGCCACACAAAGGTCAGAAACTGTTTAATCAAGGGTCTTGGTGCTTTTGACATTATTGTCTTTTCCCATTCCATGTCGTCTAAAGAGTGTCCCCTTGTACATGACGCGCAGGCAAATTTGGTCGGAAGGCCGATTATAAACGAGAACATTACCGATGTTTCTACTCAAATAGATTAAGTAAACATGATGCTTTAAGTGTGTTTAATTTCAGAAATGTAACACGAAGTCAGAGGACTTACAACATCCGCATGTGCGCGCCTGCGGCAGCATTTGAATATCGACCCCTTTCAACGTTGTTTAAAGACCGGTCCCAAAAACCACAGGAAATTCATGAAACAATTTTAAATGCGGATTATAAAGACCACCATGTAGATTATGAAAATCTCTTTCCCAAAAAAACAAATTCAAAAACCACGGCTCTATACTTTTGCACGTCATACTTTAAATATCGTACTCTATCTATCTGCGAATGTCTCTGATGATGGGTTCGAGTGAGAATCCGAAACGTCAGGCAAATAAATTTCTTGTTCCAGTGATCGCATCTTCATCTTCTGAAATATCGTACTCATGTACGTAGAAATGCAGGAAATTTATCAAACACGCTCTAGGATACTTCAGGAAAACCAGAATTTACCATTTTGGGAAACCGGCGAGATGTTGGAGAGCCCTAGTACTTCGGTCAAGAGAAACAATCCTTCACTGCTGAAACATGCGAAAAGTTATTGAGGATATTATCATCACACGACGTCGCGCATGCTGCGTAAACTTAAATTCAGCGAATAGTCCCGTGTTACCATTGAAAAGTCAATTTGGCAAACACGTGTTTTCGGCAACTCTTCATCAGGTCAAAACGGTTACATTGAAGTTTAAATTATGCGAAGTTGCAGGGCTTATAAGTGATTCAGGGACTATTAATACCCATAGTTTCCAAGCCACCCGCATAGCGAGGCGTACTATGAGGTGGTCGGCGTGTCTTAGTCATTGGGGCAAGGGGGCGAGGGAGAGGGGGGACATAGGCTGTGAGTACCTCGGGTTCGTCGTGCACACACTGCCATCAGGAGGTTGGGGCGAAGTTGGGGTCGGCGTTGGCAACGGAAGACAGAGCGCCTATGTCGGAGTCTACTGACAGCATAGCACTGGATTGGTTAGCCGTATAGCCACTGCATCGGCTATAGCTAGCACCCTTTGGCGTAGGCCTCTGGAGAAGCTTGCTGGTGTCCGGTAGACAACATGAAAGGCCTCTTTGGCAACAACTCGGTGATTCATATCGACAAGATGTGCGAGAATAGAACTCGAGATCGATTTCTTTTCACCGGGCCGGTATGTGTTCACGTACTCTCTTTTCCAGGCGCCTCGTTGTACGGCCAATGTATCCCGCTCCACAGGAGCATGTGAATGAGTAAATACACACCGATGTGGCCTGCAACGGGAGTCGGTCTTTACCTCGCAATCGTCCTCCCCGCCCTCTGCTCTTCTTGACTCTATCAAAACACCGGGCCCAGGTTAGGGAGAGAGAGTGCAGCAGATGCTCTGCAAGACTGCGCTCACTGTAAACTAATTCACGCGTACGTCACCTCCCCTGCTCTCACCCTACTCTCAAGCACACCGTGGATATCGTCGATAATGACTATCGATCTGCTACGTGATACTCCGAGACAGACTGTTACGACAGCTTCACACATTAAAGTTTTATAGCGCTACGAAATATATGTGCGACGGTAGGCGGGTGGGCACATCACGTGCAGTTAGAAAAAACACGTCGATCGCATAGTTTTGCGTCAATAAATTCTTTATGAATAAGTGCATTGCAGGTGGGCGTTTCTTGTGGTGCTGGTATCTTTTATGTTGTGGGAAGATAAATCCGAGATCACGAAAACTGATTTTAATGATTTGAGCTCTAAAGTCACCTTTGTGCCTTGGTCTGTAGACAGAGAGGACTCCGGCTGAGGAGGCAAATTCAGTCTTTATTAGAGAGAACGACTATCCTTCGTCTGAGGCAGGAAACTGGTGTAAAAATCGCTTGTAACGGAGAGCGACCGTTAGGCAAATGACTTTTCACGTTGTCGCCAAACGTAAACAATTTCTATCTTGAATGAACAGTGGAATATCCTACACGTCCTGTATTCGCACTTGCTAGTATAATGAGTCATAAAAAGGGTCAGGTCTCAAACTGTCGCGCTGCCGAATTCGAAGAGGGGCACCTATTCCTAAATTATCGCAGTTGCACTAATTATATTCAGAAATAAATCCATGTTACCTCCTTAGAAAAATTGAAAGAGTCCGTCGTTTGACTGTTATTCCTATAGGTCACGGGCTTTGGACCTTTTACTGGCGTTTGCAGCAAAAAGCCAACTGAAAGTAAGCAGCAATTTGTAGTCTGTCGACAATAAATGGTCACTTGTGTCCTTTGCTAGGAACGGGTTCATGCCATCGGGAATTCGGAGAACAGATGGGGCAGACCGGTGCACTTGCGTCCCGAACGCTTGGGTACTACGTGACGTTCGGCCTACCTCCCTAATGGCGTGTACTATTGTCTACTTGACCGAAAAACCACACTTTGGCAGAAGGTCGTTACCGACAAAGACGACGAAGACTGGAATGGCCATTTCTGGCTTGTTAGCCGTCGTCAGCCAGTCATAACGCACCCTGAAAACAACAGGGCAACAGGCTCGTTATCCGAAGTGTGGAACACCTGGAACCCGTCCACGCGACCTGTTGGTGTGAGGTGTTCCACAACTCGGGGTTGGGTATGAGTGGCTGACACTGACTTAAAAGCCAGGAATGGTCTCTCTAGTCCTACTTGTTTTTCTCCGTAATGCTATTCTGCCTATATTAGGCGTCGTTGTACAGCTGCCTGTGGGGCTCGAGGGAGAGCCTATAAGGCACAACTGGACGAGTGAGTTCCGTAGAGCGATCGATGAGCGCCTTTTTATCACTGTATATACCCGGTCGCAACCGACATGACAACGAGCCCGTAGCTCAGTGGTTAGGAGCGTTGGACTTCTAATCAACAGGTCGCAGGATCGAACCCCAGGTGTTCCAAATCTCGGGGATGGGTATGGCTAGCCGGCGACGGCTAATAAGCCAGAAATTGTCATTTCAGTCTCCCTTGTCTTTGCCGGTAATGCTGTTCGGCCAACATTACGCGCCACGGTGCAGCTGCTACCGGGGCTCGAGAGGGAGTCACATGACTGTGCTTTTAGTCTTTCTCCTGGGAAAGGACGAAAACTGTCAACTTTGGCCTTCGTCTTATACGCAAAACTTCAATGTACATGGTAAGGATAAGCAGTCTATGTTCTATGGCCATATACAACAGCAGAACTACACTTTTGCCTTTTCGAAAGCTAGGGTAGACAGTGGACTCAATAATAAGACGACCAATCTGATGCCTGAGATTTTGTCCGCCACGGACACACTAAATGGAATCATAACCTTGCATTCTGCCTGCGGGCGATGCGTCCAAGCCTCGACTCAGTTCGAACAGTGCAAATAGAAAGACCGCAAAGGTCTCGCGCCCACGAAGGCCCCGACAGGAAATCCCTCGGCCAGCGGGCTCAGAACACTACATAAGGGCAGTACATGTGACTGCTGGACCGTCGATTCCTATGATGTCCACAACAAGGTGTAGCAGGCACAGTGACTTACGCGCAAATTAGTTAATAGTGATAGTAGGCCTGTGAACGTCTGGTGCACTCTTTTCTCCTCCCCCACCTGGACCCGGTGTCAAGACAGAGTCAAGGAAACCGGAGGCGGGGCTCAAGTGGCTGGCACGGTCGGACCCGCACCTGGGAGTGCCACCACGCCCCCTGGTCTACATTATACAATTGACCAACAAAAACACCCCAACTGGGGTCAGAAGGACGAGGAGGATAACTGGGAAGCCATGCCCACCACCTGTATACCCAGTGGGGGCGCAAGCGCATCTATCGGCTGGAAACCAGTTGTGAGAGGACTGCCAGCGCATAGCAGGCTGCGAGGGCCATGGTTTGCAGATGCCGGCATAGCATACGTAGTCAGTCCTTTTGACCAGAGCAGTAAATACTGGTCAGCCCGTCGACTGACAGCCACGCTGACGCAGCCGCAATTACGAGAACTGAGCAGGGTACGCAAGTCACGCGAACACGCCAATGGTCGACTTCATTCAGAGAACATTAGCCAACTGCCAACAGGAGCAGGGTAAGATCGCAGTTGGTAGCCAGA